GCGAGAAAGGATTGCAAATTCTTGCCAAAAAATCACTCGTCTCTTTTGCCAAAGGTATAAAGGTAAAACCTTATAACTATTGTTTACTTGGTAAGCAACATAACATCTCATTTCAGACATCATCTGAAAGAAAATTGAAAATATTTGATTTGATATATTCAGATTTTTTCGATTCAATGGAGATTGAATCGATGGGCAGTAATAAATGCTTCGTTACTTTTACTGATGATGCTTCATGAAAATTGTAGGTTTATATCTTGAAAACCAAAGATTAGATGTTTCAAGTATTTCAAAAAATTCATGCTTAGACAGAGAGATGAGTCAAAAGCTAAAACGTCTTGGAACTTACAATGGGGGTAAGTACACTTCAAGAGAATTTGAAGAGTATTGTTCAAACCATGGAATCAGACATGAAATGACAGACAGTTTCTGAAACCCCACAACACAATTAGAGTTGTCAAAATGGGTAAGTCCGTTAAGTCGGCCCAATCCAACCCTTGAATTAAGTGGGGTTGGGCCTAAGTTTTGTTAGCTCATTTAGGAATGAGGCTTTTTAGCCCAACCTTATTTGGACCGCTAGCCTTGTAGGCCCAACCTACGAGCCTTAGAGGCCAGCACGTGGGCTATGAATTGTTAAAAATATTTACTCTATATATTCTAAGCAGTGTTTTATTTGTAAATATTTGTAAAATATAAAATCAAGCTTAACTCCTTTGTTGATCTTTTACATTTTAGGGTCATTAGCCCACTAAATTTTCTTATTAACCCAAATCCATTATTTCACTAGGGTTTTGATTCATTTTAATTTTTATTATAAGTTTATAATATTTTATATTCTCTTTTGTCCTTAACTTAGCAGTTTTTCTCTTTCATTTTAGGCATTACGATTTTGAAGTTTTAATGTTTAACAATACAAATTCGAGTTCAACAAATCATTTCAAACTTATTTGAAGTGTAATTTCAAGATCCATATTGATACAGGTAAGCACCTATCATTTCCTAATTTATTTCTTCTCCAAAAACGAGCTGAATTTTGTCCTAATCGAGTTCATCTTTTGTGATAGTTTCATATATATCATCTTTTTTTCTTAATTATTTTCTTGATGTATGATATCATGTGTATCATATAATGTTATTTTTTTAATGGTGGATTATTTCAGTAGATGAGGAACACGTTTCTTTTTGAAATAGTTAACACAATGAGTATGACAAAACTTAGTGAGAGATAGAATTTTATTTGGGGCACAATGAGAAAAAATATTGACTTTTAGTACCAAAACTATATGTATGTATTAGTTACTTCTATTGAATGTCTCTAATAAATGAATTTTTGTATGTATTGATGTCGTGTTCATCATATATCAACGTTCGATACTCTTAGATACTCTTTCTAAGAAATCAATGTTCATTTTTTAGTTGAATGACCGACCCGTCCCAACCTGTGGATCGCTAAGGGCTGGGTAGGCTGCTATTTTATAGGCCTTTAATTTAAAAGGGTCAGATCGTCTTAACCCATTTAACTCTCTAGCCCGTTAGGATTAGATTGTGCCAGTCCATTTTGACAACTCTAAACACAATGGTGTAGCTTAGAGAATGAATAACAACATTGTTAAGAAGGTGGTAAGCTGCTCAGAATGGCTAAATTGCCTAAGTCACTCTGGGGTGAAGCAGTTCGAATAACATATGTTATCTTATCAATCGTAGTCCGTCAGTTCAATTGAAGTTTGACATTCTGAAGAGATTTTGGACCAACAAAGAGATGTCTCACTCGCATCTAAAGGTGTTCGGTTGCAAAACTTTTGCAGATCTACTGAAAGAGTAAAGAATCAAGTTAGATGATAAATTAGTTCCCTGCATATTCATCGGATATGGAGATAAAAAGTTCGGATACAGACTGTGGGATCCTGTAAAGAAAGTCATCAGAAGCAGAGATATAATCTTTCGAGAAAGTTAAGTTGGAACTACTGATGATCAGTCCGAGAAGGCCAAGAAAAAGAATGGTATAGTCCCCAATCTTGTTACCATTCATTTTACTTATAACCATCACATAAGTGCAGAAAGTACGATCGATGAAGTTGTTGAACATGAAGAACAACCTAATGAAATTGTTGAGCATGAGAGCAACTTGGTGATAATACCGATCAAGTGGACTACTGAGAAGAAGAACAACAACAATCTCAACCTCTGAGGAGATCAGAAAGACAAAGGGTAAAATCATCCAAGTACCCTTCTTCAAAGTATGTTCTCATCAATGATGAAAGGGATCCTGAAAGTTTTAAAGAGATGTTGTCTCACCCAGAAAAGAGCCAATGGATGAAAGTCATGCAAGAAGAAATGAAATCTTTAGAGAAAAAATGACACATACAGGCTAGTTGAACATTCAAAAGGCAAAAGAACGCTTAAGTGCAAGTGGGTCTTTAAACTCTAGAAAGATAGAAATGGCAAGTTAGTTAGGTACAAAACTCAATTGGTTGTAAAAGGCTTCGAACAAAAGAAAGGTATTAAATTTGATAAAATCTTTTCACCTATTGTCAAAATTACTTTTATTCGAACTATTTTGAGCCTAGTAGCTAGCCTAATCTTGAAGTGGAGTAATTTGACGTGAAAACTGCATTCCTTCACGGAGATTTGGAAAATGATATTTATATGGAGAAACTAGAGGGATTTGCAGTATTTGTAAGGAAACACATGGTGTGCAAATTGAATAAGAGTCTTTATGGGTTGAAAAAGGCACCAAAGCAATGATACAAAGTTTGACTCTTTCCTGAAAAGCCAAACTTACACAGAGACCTATTCTGATTCATGTGTATACTTCACTAACAATAATTTTATTATTTTGTTGTTGTATGTGGATGACATGTTAATTGTAGGATAAGACGAAAAGTTGATTGCTAAGTTGAAGAGAGAGTTATCCAAGTCATTTGACATGAAGGACTTAGGTTCGACACAATAAATTCTAGGGATGAAGATTGTTTGAGAACGAACAAAAGAAAGTTGTGGCTATCTCTAAAGAAGTACGTTGAACATGTATAGAACGCGCTAACATGAAAAGTGCTAAAATTGTTAGCACGCCTCTTGATGGTCATCTAAAGTTGAGAAAACGAATATGTACTACTACAAAAGATGAGAAAGGGAGAATAACAGTGGGGAGTTTGATGTATGCAATGATGTACACAAGACCTGACATTGCTCATGCAGTTGGTGTTGTTAGAAGATTCCTTGAAAATCCTAGAAATAACACTGGGAGGCAATTAAGTGGATACTCAGGTACGTAAGAGATACCACAAGAAACTGCTTATATTTTGAAGGATCTGATCCAATCTTGAAAGGCTATCCAGATATTGATATGGCAGGTGACCTTGATAATAGAAAATCCACTACCGGATATTTGTTTACCTTTTTAGGGGGAGCTATATCATGACAATCGAAGTAGCAGAAGTGTGTCACACTCTCTACAACTGAAGCAGAATATATCTCAACCACTTAAGTTGGCAAAGAAATGATATGGCTAAAATGATTTCTTCAAGAACTTGGATTGCATCGAAACCAGTATGCCATCTATTGTGACGGTTAAAGTGAAATATACTTGAGCAAGAACACCGTGTATCATGCAGGGACAAATCATATCGATGTGAGTTATCATTAGATTCGGGAAAAGATATAGGACAGATCTATGCAAGTCATGAAGATCCCTACTAGTGAAAACTCTTAAGATATGTTGACCAAGGTGGTATCAAGAGACAAGTTCGAGCTATGCAAAAAACTTGTCGACATGCACTCAAGCTAGAAACTTAAAGTTACCTCCTTCAAGTGAATGAGTTTGGAGGGGGAGATTGTGGGGGTCTATCTTCATGTGCCAATGTTTGATAAATATATGTATATGTGTGTGTGTGTGTGCCAATTTACTTGGTTGATATTTTCAATTTTCCTTAAAGTCAAATGTCGGTAACCTGTGAAGAAGGAAAAAAATGTTTTTCTTCTATAGCATTTTTCCTCGATAAAAAGGAGGGTTATTCTTTATTCTCAAATACATCAAAAATAGAGAGAAAAGCAGAGTGATGCATCATAGAAGGAAATAGTATGTGAGGAAAAATAAAGAGTGTGAACAATATTGTAGTGGGTGGGAAAATCAAAAGAGAGTTATTTCTTTTGAGTGTGTAGTGGTGTGTGAAGTTTTTACTGAAACCTACATCTGTAAAATCCTTACTATAGTGATATATGTTGCTCCTCTCGGACCGTGGTTTTTTCCTTATTTAGGAGGGTTATATTGCTTTTATTACAACAAATATTATTCCTGTGGCGAGTTTATTCCCAACAAAATGTACATATTTTTAGTTTTGATGTTGTTGAATTTAAACACTCATATTGTATATACCTTCCGATTTTGATACATATGATAATCTATAGTTTAATCTATTGAAACACACAGATATTCATACACATGACGTATTCAACAGACTCAAATTGCAGAAGAAAAAAAATCTTATATACCAATCTGTATATCAATTGTTCTACAAAAGATGGATACATACAATCATATATATAAGTTATAGCACGGCGTAGGATCCCATTCAAAAAAATGCTCTTTATCAAGAATTTTTTCATACCATGACTCGAACCCGAGACATCGAGTTAAGAGAGGAATAGCCGCATTCACGCACCACATCCTTTCGTGGTCTTAAATATCAATATTGATATACAAATAACAAAAATATATACAATGTAGTTTATACACAGAGTAAACAAATTCTATGTACACATAATATTATTTAAAAAAAAGAGAGAATATATAAAGTCCTCTTAAACTAATACTTTATTTTAAAAAAGACATTTAAACTCTACGGAAATCCTATTTTATCAGGTGAAAAAGCAAATGGTATATGGGCTAACAAAGTTGTCAAATGTTTCTTAAATTGTATTCAAGTTATATAAGCTAACAATATATATTTCACACTAAAATCTAATTAAAATATGTAGTTACAAATTCTACCCATCTCTTATGCAAGTTCAATACTTTGCTTATTTTGGCACGTGCAGAACTTGTGAATCGCACGCTTCGAAGATAAGGTCACAAAGCACTTCATCCGTGCCAAGCATATGCTTAGACACGCTTGGCTTCCTTCACACGCGTGAGAAACCTAGCCTTCGCATGCTCGCCGTCTACCACCCTCGATCTCTCCCTCCTCCGCCGGATCTTCGCCGGAAAACCTTCCGGAACACATAAATCTCCTCTCCTCTCCTTCTGGTTCTTTCTGTAGGAAATATCCTTCCTTCACTCTGCTCCGGCCAATTCGCCGGAATATTTATTCTTGTATAGATATGAATCTGGTTACTCAGCGATAATCGTCGGCTTCGGTATATTTCTTACAACAACTAGATGCCAGACGAGACCGGTGTAAGTCATCTACGTCTTTTTTTTTTGTGAATTTTTTGTTGAAAGCGATCTAAAGGATGATTTTTTCTAGATGACCAAACAAACAGGAGTGGTCATATAAATGTACCTTTGTTGAAAAAATATATATTAATGGACCTGAATTGAGCAGAATGGAGATAGATGAATCTTGTAGCCAAGCTCAACTGAATTGGAATTGGATTGGGATGTAGCCAGATTGAAAAGAAGGTGGTAATATAAGCAAAATTGATGTCTTTATTAGACGGTGCCAAAAATCATGCTTTGTTTGTTAGCTCAGATAGTCGAAGTAGATGGATTGTTGGTAGCTTCTAGATGGATTTGGGAAGACTACTGCATTTTCTTTCATTTTGTGCATGGAATTTAAGTTTCACACCCAGTAGTGTATTTTTACAGTATCTATAAGTTACTTACCGCTTTCCAAAGAAACTTGTTCAAGCTTATTCTAGACTATCTGCATTTGGTTGTTAGCTAATCTCATGGTGTAAATATTGTGATATGGTTGTTTATAAAATGTAAAACTTTACGCATATTGACTTGCAATTTGGAAGAGTAAGATTCCTATTTGTTATAAGTTGGCTATTGGTGTTAAGATTTTTCTAGTTAAATGGCCAATACCTTAAGTAATGGCTCCATTCTTCATGTCTTCTTTGAAATGCCTTTTGTGATCTAAACATATTGATATTTTTCTTTTGAAGTTCTTTTGTTGAAATCAGGGAGCTGAAGAACCAAACTTCAGTAATCATATCAAAAATGTCTTCTGGAATACTTTAGTCCAATTATTATGCTGAAGCATGATAAGTGTAGGCAATGTCATCTATATCTGAGGTTTGAAATGTAGTAAAACTCGAGTAAAAGAAGTGGTAGAAAGCTGGAATGGCATCAGAGATGCAGAGATATGATACAAACGAAGATGACGAAGAGATGGGAATGGATGTGAAAGAAGAAGATGATGAGGATGAGGACGATGAAGAGAAGAATGCTGCCATGCATGCAATAGCAGGTTTTGATGGGGTACATGGATCTAGCAGCAGTAATAGGTTTCAACACCATCAGCAATATCACGAGCAACCAACCCCAGGGGGATCCCGTAGATGTAGGCCATTAGAAGAGAAGGAAAGAACAAAGCTTAGGGAGCGACAGCGAAGAGCTATTACTGCAAAGATCTTGGCTGGACTCCGAAGGCATGGGAACTATAACCTTAGAGTTAGGGCCGATATCAATGATGTAATTGCTGCTTTGGCAAGGGAAGCAGGTTGGGTTGTTCTTCCAGATGGAACCACCTTTCCCTCAAGATCACAACCACAGGTAACTCTCCTCCACCATTTTAAGCAATGTTCTTGTCTTTTTTTCCTGAAAACAAAGTTCACATATAGTCTCACCTTTTTTAAGTGAGGCAAGATGAAAAATCATCGATTTGGAGGATTTTTGTCTACTGATACTTGTGCATCAATCTTGTTTTGTTTCTAGTAGATCTTGAGAAAACCCAATTGTGGTGTTGTTTTTCAAATATCTACAGGGCACAGATACTGCTGGTGGAACACCCACTACAATGGTGACTTCATCATCTTCACATATACCTACACAACATACTCCACCTGGTTCGTTGAAAGGTGTGCCTTCTGGGTTTCAGAACACGGACGATCAGAGTGCCTGTCAAATGAAAAGTGTTTTTGTACCTACTTCATCCCCTTATGATTCATCATCCACTGCGCGATCACAAACTTCGGCCATGGTGGCAGATGGACTAGACACACAAAATGACCCATTTCTTGTAGGGTCTGTGGATTCAATTGACAAGCAGGTGAAATGGGTAGCTTCAATCTGTTGTAAAACATGTAAATTAGTACGAACACATTTTCACTTTACCAATTCATTTGTGTGTAAATCTGCTGAAGTGTCAAAGCAAGAAAAAAATACTTTTACAATCCTGTATATATGGTGTATCATATGTGTGAAGTTGACATTTTTGATTGAATACCTTTTCAAACCGTAGTTTTGCTGTTTCAATGGACCTGTAAGAGTATTTGATAATGTTACTGTTTCTGAAATACTTTGTTAGGTTGTTGACATGCACACAAAACTACAGGAGCGTGATTTTGCTGGGACACCCTACATTCCTGTTTATGTTATGCTACCTGTGAGGCTTCTGAACTTAGACCTTGTTAATTCTTCCTTGTTCTTCCCATTTCTCAATCTCCTGTATCTTTTCCCCATTTCCCTAGCAACTGGATCCTTTTGACATGGAATTTTTGTCTTCAATCTACTTCCATTCTTATTAAAACTTTAGAAGTCAAGGGCTGTTGTTTTACAGCTTTCTGCAAGTCATATGTGGATAACCTGATGCTTTTTTGTATGTTGTTATATTGGCAGTTAGGAGTTATTAATATGAAGTCTGAGCTTGTTGATGCGGATGGTCTAGTGAAGCAGTTGAGAGTGCTAAAATCAATAAATGTCGATGGTGTGATGGTGGATTGCTGGTGGGGCATAGTAGAGGCAAATGCTCCACAGGATTATAACTGGAATGGATATAAAAGGCTTTTTCAAGTTGTGAGGGAGCATAAACTCAAAATAAAGGTGAGATTGACATGTGTTTTGTTGTGACTCCATTTTTCTTCCACTTCATCTAATTCTTTTACGTGAATGAATGCAATAATGGGGAAATAGGATGGTGTTTTTACTATCAACTGTTAAAGATAAGTACTTAATTCATAAACAAAATGTTCATTTGGTACTTGTGATTGTCACCATAGTTATTGCATCAATTTAGATTGCAATGTTTTGAGGTTTTAAGTGGAATCAGGTTGTGATGTCTTTCCACGAATGTGGAGGTAACATTGGTGATGATGTTTGCATTCCACTGCCTCACTGGGTATCCGAAATCGGTCGAAGCAATCCTGATATATATTTTACAGACAGAGCAGGACGACGGAACCCTGAATGTCTCTCATGGGGAATAGACAAAGAACGAGTTTTGAGAAGCCGCACCGCTGTAGAGGTATGTTATGTGACCTCGGTCAGACTGCATATACTCTTATGATTATGACCTAGTGCTGTAATGATAACAGGAATATTTGTGTAGTGAATGTCTTCTAGTTATTTTGAGGTTAGAGATCATTTCCCATCTTTCTTTCTTCTTTTTGGATCGAGGATGGGGTTGAAGAAGAAAAACAACCTCTATTGACCACAAAAACTTCCAAGTTCGCAGACGATCAAATGTGCTAGAGAAGTGAAACATTCTGAGTAGTTGATATATTTTTCATGTTGAAAGCCTTACTGACCACTAACGCTAGCACAATACGTAGTTTTTTTTGGGTAAGTAATGACAATTTTGGATAGAGAGGGTTGCTCAAGTGGTAAACATCCTCCACCTCAAACCTTGAGGTTGTGGGTTCGAGTCACCAAGGGAGCAAAGTGGGGGAGATCCTAAGAAGGGGTTGAAAAAAAGTGATGGCAATTTTGTTATCTAGCAAAAAAAAGATTCAGAGTTGTGTATAATTAGTGGTTGTAATGATTCTATACCATTATTAAAAATAATTAGTGATTGTAATTAACAGGTATCTAACATGGGTTAAGTGATCGCCCAATGTGTTTTTACCATTTTAACTTGTATATTTTGGAGATTCTCTATTGTTCTCAGTATATGTTATGCTTAGCAGCAATAACTGATTGGGAGTTACTGTTGCTAAATTGTCAAGGGGTTACTCAAGAAAAAATAAAAATCACAGCAGTTGAAATGGTGGTATTTTTGTTTATAGAAGATTTGCTTTTCGTGCTGTACTCTGTGTATTGGAAAGGCGACGAGGGTCTTCCTCAAGTGATGTGCCAATTAATTTCAAAAACTTAAAATATTTAATTGCATATATAAATAACCAAAATCTCAATAGCAATAACATATGAGCAAATATTTCAATTCAAAAACTAAAAGTAGATACTAAAGTCTAGAACTTGAATGACTCAATAATTCATATTAATTAGATGCCATTGAAATTGTTGTTTCTGGGCAAATAATTACTATATTAATTAGTATATAACTAAATTGAATTAGGCAGAAATAAAAATAGAAGGACTAGATATTTTTTTTAAAAAGGGCAGACTGCAGAAAATAGAAAACAGAGTATTAAAAACAGAGAAATGAGAAGCTGTGCGCAGTGGCATACCGGTTAAGAGTCGCGAAAGAAGAGCAGAAGAACAAAAGGAAAAAAGTTTCTGACTGTCGCGAAGCAGAGGAGAAAGAAGAAGAAGAGAGAAGAAGAAACAAGTGCTGACTGTCGCGAAGCAGAGGAGAAAGAAGAAGAACATAGAAGGCTTACTTGAAGTTGTTGAAGTCTGAACGTTGGAGAAGAAAGTTACAGTTTGTGGCTTTGTGCAAATAAACCCTAATATTGCCTTTTAACCACCCGCCTTTGCGAGATCGCCTCACCTTGCTAGTAATAGGCGACCAGGCCTCGCCTCTCGCCAAAGGCGATAAGGCGAGCGCCTTTCACAACACTGGCTGTACTCATCATATTAATTTTGCTTGTAAGAGGTGTTACAATTCACAGAAATCCAATTTTCTTCTTTATGTGACTACCTTTGTCAAAGATTTTGTCATACACAGATACTCGTAAAAAAAGATAATAGTGATATCTTACCTAGATATTTATCTTTTTGACTAATGTAGGTCTACTTTGATTATATGAGAAGCTTTCGAGTGGAATTTGATGAGTTCTTTGAGGATGGTATTATTTCCATGGTTGAAGTTGGACTAGGACCATGTGGGGAGCTAAGATATCCCTCTAATCCTGTAAAGCATGGCTGGAGGTATCCTGGAGTTGGTGAATTCCAGGTAATTTCTTTTTAATTCTTTTTGAAGTTGTGGTTAGTAGTTGACATATCTTAGATTTGTATGAATGGCATGCAAAAGAATTTGATTTGTCAAATCTTTCTCTGTTTATACGTCACTATATTCCTATCTGAGGTCAGACTTGAAAAGCCAAGGTTTGTCTAAGTGATTACACTATATTAGGGTCTCTGTCAAAAAGTAGAGCCAAAGATGTACTACAGTCACATGTGTGTGACCATTTATGGCCTCAATATGACTTCTTGTCTCCCATAGTTTTTTTTTTTTTTGACAATTGATTCTTGTCTCCCGTAGTGTTATGACCAGTATCTGCTGAAAAACCTGCGGAAGGCGGCTGAAGCAAGAGGACACTCATTCTGGGCACGAGGACCCGATAATGCTGGTTCTTACAATTCACGGCCACAAGAGACTGGATTTTTTTGTGACGGGGGTGACTATGATGGGTATTATGGTAGGTTTTTCCTGAACTGGTACTCTCAAGTTCTGATTGACCATGCAGATCGCGTGCTTTCTTTGGCCAAGTTTGCTTTTGATGGGACATGCATTGCTGCAAAGGTTAGTCATCTTTAAGGAAATGATTTTAATTTATGATACATTACCAGTTGCTATATTCTTCTCACTACAATACAATGGCAATTTTGACTGTTGCTATAATATGACAACAATTCCTTTTCTTCTGTCTATAAGTGATTTCCTTTTATTTTCATTTTTATACCAATAACAACATACCCAGTGAAATCTCACTTCATTTTTATACCATTTACTTCTTACGCAGATTTAAATAAACAGGGACTGTTCATAACGTGTTTTGAGCTTTCCTGTAACTGTCCTTACGCGCATCAGAGAACTGTTTCGTTTGCGTTGACGTTCTTTTTGTTTTTTTCTAAACAAATTTCAAGAAGCTTGAATCAAGGGACAGATGTACATGACCTCATAAGAAAATAATGAAAAACGATGTTTCCTAACCAAATTATAGTGGAACAGCCAGCAGTCAAGTTGAACTAACAATGTACTATTAGAGGCAATTTAGCCTTGAAAACTGAAAAGGAGGAGTAACCAACTTCTGTTCTGTCATGTTCACATTGCCGGGACCTTATTTATTCTCTCTCCATCTGTCCTCTTGCCCAACCTTGGTAACCTTTGCCTATGGAGAGCAACTTGGTAGTTAGAACTGAGAAATGACTCAGGGTGGCAATCCACCAAGCCATTGCAAAATAACTTGCATTATTTACCAAGCAGGGTTTCCATATAGCTTATCCTCAAAATGATGATATGAACAACTACTTCTAAGTGATTAAAGAATTCCAAGACCTGATTCTACCTCCTGGACTTCGGAGTGTAAAGTTTACAGCTTTACACTCTGAAGGTTCCGCCTATGATCAGATTGACAAATATGGAAAATTTATATAGCTGATCCAGCTAGTTCGGAATCGAGGCATAGTTGATTAATTCACTGGTCCAAAAGCCATTAATGACTTTAGGGTTTTCCGTATGCACAGCTGTAGTCTCAGACTGACCAGAACATTTAAGGAACAAATGTTGGTCGCAAATCCAGACTAGTTCTGCACTTCCGTTTCCAAGGCCATAGTGGAGAACAAAATGATTGCTGCACAAAATAGCATTAGTCTGTTATGAAAAAGTGAAAACCTTAAAAACTAGTTTATAGCTTTATGGATATTTTCCCAAATGACAAACCCAACTCATACCTGCTAAAATCAAAAAACAATACCAATTTTCTCAGATTCAAACCCATACACTCAGAAGAGTTGTTTTCCTTAAAAATAGTTTAGAGCTTTAATGGTATTCTTGCAGATGACAAGCCCAACATTAACTCTCCAAAAAATAATAATCTCAAATTCAAATCCAAACACACAGAAAAAAATTCCATAAAAGAGAACTGTTGTAAGTATGTTTTTTTTTTCTTTCTGGAGGTTCTATTGGCTGACTTTCCGAAACTGTTTCGTGTTCTAGGTCTCACAAATCTGTTTTTGTTAAATGTAATCATTCAGGGTTTCTTGCAAATTACCCAATTTGTTGAAATTCATGCACTTGAAATGGAAAGTAGATTATCCTTGCTTTGTCTTTTATTTGAAGTTTGCAAGAAGCAAAGAGGGTTTTTTAATTTTAGGTATAGTTGATCCAATTTCTACCATATTTTAAATCTAAGCAGCTATCAGGAATTCATTGGTGGTATAAGACAGCTAGCCATGCTGCTGAATTAACAGCTGGTTTTTATAACCCTAGCAATCGAGATGGTTATGTTGCGATTGCTGCAATGCTGAAGAAGCATGGAGCTGCATTGAACTTCAAGTGTGCTGAAATGAGGATGTTAGAGGAGGCAGTGGACTTCTGTGAGGCTCTAGGTGATCCTGAAGGATTAGCCTGGCAAGTAAGCTTCGTCCTATCCCTACTTGCATAGTCGAACCATTATGTTAACTGCATCTGAAGTTATTTTGCCTTTGAACATCTCATAACAGGTGCGGAATGCGGCTTGGGATGTTTCTCTGCCAGTTTGCAGTGAAAATGCACTTCTGTGTCATGATAGAGGAGGCTACAATTGTTTACTGGAAAAAGCGAAACCGCTGAATGATCCGGATGTGAAACATATTTTTGCTTTTACCTACCTTAGGCTCAGTCCCCTTCTCATGGACGGACAGAACTACATGGAATTTGAACGATTTGTTAAGAGAATGCATGGTAAAGGATTTGAAGTCTTTTAACTCTTCAATCAATTATTTGGTTAGATTTGTGGTAGACTAGTTTGCGATTAAATTGGGTAGAATTAGTTGGATCAATATTCGAGGGTCCAAAACATGTCTACAAAACTTTAATCTCAATATGAATTGGACTTAGGATCAGTGCTATTGTGAATATTCATCACATCACTAGTGTTGTCTTGCAAGATGATAATTGATAACTAGTTAACCGGGGGAGATGCTAGTTGATATCATGGCTGAAGGACATCATATTGATAAGTCAGTTCATTGCCTTCATCGTCTAAGATTCTTCCAGTAAATAAATTGATTATAAAGCATGTTATTTATCTCAGTTAGTGCAAATAAATTGCGTCTTAATGAAGGTCATTATTCAGCCAGCTATTTATTGACCCATCATCCTCAAGATCATCTCATAGAGACAATTATGGTGACTTTGTGGTTGGTTCTTGTCTGTTTTGCAGGGGAAGCAGTCCTTGAGTTCCCATCGTAGTTTGGGAGAGCAAGCAATCTTCAAAATGTGCATAAGTTTCATCATCCTTTGGGAAAGCAGGATTATATTTATTTTTATAGTATAATGCAAGTCTAATTCAGGAGAGCAGGCAATCTTCAGCTTGTGCACATGTGGGGTTATATTTCTTTAGTACAGTGTAAGGATACACTTCTGAAGGAAAAATGATGAAGCTGCAGTGCTATCTGTGTATCTTCTGGTCAGTGTTGTAGCGCAACGTGACCTAAGATATATTATTCGTGTTGAAGATGATCACATACCGTCTTGTAGAAAGCAAAACTAGCTTAAGTTGCTGAAAGGATGGATTACTAGCAAGAAGTAATGAAGAAACTGTATCTTAAAACAGTGATGTACTTGTCATATAGATTATTCAATCCGATTGCAAGGTGTAGGAATTATGTTACATGTGCCTTTAAATAAGCATATATTCAGCTCAATAATCTTTGGAACTGCAAAATATGTTAGGCAATTTTACTGTCAATTTGCATGTCTAAAACAAATAGCAGAAAGGAAGTGAGTACCAATAATCATCATGCAGCGGCAAGTTATTTTCAAGATGAATTGGCAATTAGGGCCTGAATGTTGGCCAGCATCTCTTACCATTGACATCTATATATTTAATCAGTAGCCTTTTTGTTAACCTGATAGGTGTGCTATTACTTTCAAGGTGAATTGACAATTAAAAGTTTAAATATTATCCAGCAAACTGTGTTCCAAGACAATATGCTAACACCAACTACCTGGTGAAAGTATACCAGATGAAAAGGAACAATTACTAACATCTGTCAACTGTGTAATCGAGACGGCGAGACCTGAACTTCCATTCATTTATATTACTGTAACTGAATGTTTGGGCACCCAAAATTTTGTCCCTCTGAGCTAATAACTGATGTGATCAGGGAACATGCTATCCTTTAGTAATTATGCCAACTAGTGAACTAACAAGAAACTTTTTTGCCTGTTCTCTACTAAAAGCCATCCTACTAACCTATACAGGGGCATTAAATATATTCCAAGACACCCTAAAGAAAAAAAAAATGAGTATGACACTGACCAATATATGACTTCTTCAACCCAGTTCACCCTCACTCATCTGTCTAAAAAAAGACGCCCTGCTAACTCATCCCAACTTTCTCTCCTTTTTTGGGAAATGGTGAGAGAGGACTCCCCCAGTTTTCCAAAATCCGGTCCTTCCTCTATGTTGCGGAAAGTTCCATATGCAGAAGGAGAATATGCTTGGGGCACATCCAGTGCTACTGCCCTTTGCAAAGCAGCCTTGTGTTCCTCCATGTGCTCCTTAGCGAGAGAGTCCCGTCTCTCCATTCTCTGCTGCTCAGGGATATTCATAGAATCTGTACTCTGATGCCTCTCCAACATCAACTGTGTATAAAGAAAATGGAAACAATTTCATCAATAACACTATGAATGTTAGCTTTAACTAATCATTTTCCAAAAAAGTTTCTCATATTTAAACAAATCTGACGGGACAAGAATTTGTTTTTCAGATGCTGTACGCAGAGATTCCTCCTCAGGCTAATAAAGCTATATTTACACATCAAATTTCTTATGCATTTACCAAGACATCTACCACAACAACTACTCTGAGTCCACACCATGATTTCTAAACCAAAAAAATCTAAATGCACAAGGATCCACTTTCTGAGAACTGATTTTACCAATTTATTTTTCGTAACAAGGTCCTCTAACAAATCAAACTTCCTGAAGCCAAAAAATCTTAAGCATTTTTTAACTTTGCACCAACAGCAAGATCCTACTAAAGAATGGAGTTGTGGAGAACTTACATCAATTGTTCTTTGTGATTCTTTCAGTATCCGAAGAATGCCATGATCAGATGTCATGTTGCATGAAAGAACTATGTGCTCAAACCGTCCATCAACAGGTATAGCAGTCCTCACAATGGGTTTAATATTAGCAGAGCTGCAGCAGAGGCAAAGAGAAGAGAAGAAAAAGTTTATGCATCAGCACATTCCTGGTAAAAAGGTTCAAAGACTTGCATTTATGCACCTAAATCATTGCTTCGAAATGGTAAAAAAGAAGTTGGGTAATAAGATCTCTTTCTCTTTTCATAGCATACTACAGGAAGCTAGTTGGGATTAAGGCTTAGTTATTGAAACAGCTGTATTTGAGAAAACGAATGTACACAAGTAATTAAAGGGAAGGAATTTTGGCGCCACTTCATGATAATTAAACCAACCGGCAAAAAGCATTAACACTGCAAAGACCAATGCCCTTCAGAGAGAAGAACCCCTCCCTGTGGACTGCTAGTTATTGCTCTTCAACTTGTCTCCACCAAGTAAAAATTTTGTAGCCAAGCTAGGTCCTTAAACGGTACCAAAATTCTAATGTATACTAGTGAAAAGCTAGCACTGAATCCTGCCAAAGTTTTACCATTTTATTTTACGAATCTGTTTGTGGCAATGGAATTTCATATACCTGAAGGGCTTCCTGACAATAATATGATAAAGACGACCTGGAGCATAAAGGCGTCTTGGATCTTTTAGCATCTTCTCCTCCATGGTGAATGTATCCTTTAGGCACATTATGCACATCAAGCATGGGAAACTATAGAAAAACAACACTTGTCAGCTTATGGGTCTGTCATACTAGCTCTTGGTATCATGAACGTATGACCTGATACAATGATGAACCAAATATTTAAGTATCAAAAAATGAAGGGAAAAAAAAACGTGGTATTAGTCATTCTTCCTAACAGTGATAATAACTCCATTCATTAAGCTTCCCACTATAAGTTAACAAGATATTTTGGGCTTCCTATAGTAAAGGAAGTATATTTGATTTACTAGGAAATGTCTGTTTGTACAAGTGGCATACATCACATTGGCAAGAAATTCTTATTTTGCCGTGAATAGACAAAGATTTTGTCTTAGACTGTCATTGATTCTATCACGCTAAGAAGTTTTGCATTCGATCTTTAAATTTTCTCCATTTTGTGATCACAAAGTGATACTGCAAAGGACCTTCACCTCCAATCAAGAGCTTGGGGGTTTGAGCAGCTGGGCAATCAAAATTTATGGTGCGGGCTTTCCCATATCCAATAAAAGGTGAATAGGTGACAGTGACACCAAAAAGATAACGAGCAATGGACAGAGTCACATTATAAGATCGGAAAATTGAAAGTGTATAGCATCTCTCAACATTCAAAGTTTCATATCTAAAGCAAGTTTTCAAGAAACTGCTCGAGTTTTAGCAAAAGCGGCTCTCAGGACTTGTCTAGGCAAAATTTTGGAAATGATACCTTTATTCTCGTTTCTTCCAGCTAATTTATCGCCTATGATTTCACGTTTCTGTGAAATCATGTATTGGTTGAGATATATCCATTTTTTTATAAAAAAAATCAAAGACTAAGAATCTCGTGACTTTATTCACCTGACCAAGAAACAAAGAAACTTGACCCTTTTTTATGAGCTTGGTCTTACTTCACCGTCAAGAAAGGAAAGAAGACTTTCATCTCGAAGTTTAACTCAGATGTAGCTCCCTTCTTTTTTTGGTAATATTCAAACTTGAATCTTTTGTTTTCTAATTTAAATAATGAAAAAATGGAATGTTAGTAGGGGAGGGGGGTATCCATCATTTGAGTCTCCCAACAATTATTCCAATAATTACTTATCCGATTTGGTCTATGGCACTTGAACTAAGCTATTAATTACTCAATGTAACTGTTGTATTTTGATTCCGTATATTTACTTTAAAATCACATACAACATAGACATCAAAGGTCATGCTAAAAGAAGAGAAAACCTGCAATCTTTTACCAGATAAGTGACTTGAAAGCATGTTCCAGTGCTACAGTGGTCCGAGGTAAGAAATCATCCTGATTGGTCCATGGCAAAGATGTGTCAAAATGTGACAATAAATTCTAGACGAACAGGTATATCTTGGGCATAGAGCATCCAACAAGAAAAGAAATATACACGAGATATTAGACCTTATCGATTATTAAAAAAGGTATCTTCCTAAATTGTGAATTAGACCTACCTTTCTAGAAGGAATTGCTTCACAAAAACAGAATGTAATGTCTACCTTCCTTCATATGTTTGTGTAAGTGTAGATCTACATGCAATCCATAGATTTTGCTTCCAAATAACAGTTCAATTCCTTCAAACTAACAACATTTGATTCACTAATTGCAGGGAACAACTATCTGCTAAAAAATATAAGTGTCACTTCATCCCACAACAGCAAGGATAAGACACACTACTTACTAAAATATAAGCACCATTCAAATGCTTTTCGTGTTACATCTGTCTGAAGAGAAACAAATTATAAATGCTTCTCGTGTTACTTCTGTCTGAAGAGAAACAACTTATGTGACGTTAAACTACCTCAATACTACAGATACATTCACACCATGCAATAAGATCAAGCTATTTAACATTGCACTTCAAATATGAAGCATAATTCCAAAAGATACACTATGTGCCACTTAGGATCAAATTTAAGTAAAGAAAAAAGAACTTCCCTTATGGAACATTCTTTGGTAGAATGATTACATAGTCTCATATCAAAAAAAGAAAAACATCATCGACCTTGCATATCTGGTTGGCCTTTTTGTTAAGATAAGTCCAATAGTACAAGTCAAATCAAAGAAGATGTGTATCAGACAACAAAGAGAACCTACATGCTTACCTGAAGTACAACAGAGTTTATGATGTCCGCATATCTCACAGCCAAATTTAGCGAGACACACCTTGTAGGAGCAATCGCAAAGCACCTGATCCTTTTTCTGTCTAAGAGCCCCAACTTTTCTCTGTTCTTCACAGTCAACATCGTCAACAGCGTTACCACCCCTGCCCCTAAAGAATGCCCAGCAAATGTCAAGGTATAATCTGGATACCTCTCCACCAATTCCCTTAAAAGTTGTGATTCAGCTTCCCAAACCCATTCAGCTGCCTTCAGTAGACCATTATGAACATACCCCCCATCAAATTCTGCTTGTCCAAGTTTATCATCAAGTAGGACCAAAAAATCACTATCCTTAGCCATATTAAGACCCCTAATTGCTACAACTATATCAGTATTCTGATGATCAACATAAATCAAATAAGGAGACACCTTCCCTTGAGTATCTTCATGACTTTTTTTTACAATAACCCAATCTGGATCAATGCCATATCCACCAGGTGGAGTCGATATGGGATTTCTAATATCATCCACATATACCGCCATAATATATCGACAGAACCTTGGCACAGGCTCAAACTCACTGGCAATTGCAAGTCCCCAATTCTCACTTTCACGGCCAGCAGTATAAAGGAACTTCTTCCACACCCAACGTACACAACCTAAGCAGTATACACATTCAACAACTGGAACACAACAGGCAACTGACATTGGCTCTACCAAACAGTCATCTTCTACCAATTCAAGAATGACAATTATTTTCAAGAAAACAAATGACAAAATCGATTCAATAAATGGGTCATATCTCAATCAGGCAACAATATTGCTGAAGTTCAAATAATGGGGTACCAATATTCTCTGTCTAGAGCAGATATCAAGGTTTTGTTAAGCAGTTGAGCTAACTCAGTAATAAAGATTGGATCTTTATTAGTAAAATAAGAGAAAGAGGGCATTAAATTAACAACTACAACAACTGAGCAAACAATAGCTGTAATCATCAATACAGACTTCAAGAGGAGAAATCACTGAAAATTGAAGGGAATAATGGGAGAAAAAGCGGTAACACACCTGCAACTACTCGTCAAAGACACCGTTTTTTTTGTGGGGTACCTTACAATTGAGTGAAAGAATATATTGGGATTATGCCAAGATCCTTTCTCTAATAATACTGTTTAATTACAACTAATACTAGTACTTTTTTTAATGGTTTTTGCAAGAACGATGACTTATGATGATGGTTGATGGCCTCTGCTTCGTTGTGATTTGTGTGGAGAAAACAGTTTGTATAAATTCTCTCAGGTTGGTAGAAGTTTCCTTTGAAGTGTGATAAGGCAAAAAAAGAAAGAACAAAAAGGAAAAAAGGTAGTAGTTTCTTGTGAATTATTGCCATTTGTTAACTTTTGTCATACTTCTACTTTTGTATCCTAGCAATCGTCTCTTTACTAATTTCGATAGAACTCTGCTTCTTCTTCATTTTTCCAATCTTTTTGGTAATATTAAATATTCATTTAGTCGGGGCTTTAATGTAGGTTCTGGACATCTGTTGAGAAATTAAAAAATATTAAATATTTTTTTTAATTGTCATAATTGCTAAATATAATTCATTCTATATATTTGTAAATATGATGAAAAATAGAATAGTATAATATATAAACGGACTTTTTAATTTTATTTCAACTGATATTTATATTTTTGATTATAATCTAATAGACACTTAAGTTATCATAAAGTTGAAAAGGTAAACGCTATCATGTGGTGTTACAATATGAACTGAATGGATTATCCTATCACTTACCATTCTAATTGGTCAAATAATATTTTTATTGACTAATTCATTTCATGGTTCTCCTGAACTATAGTGTTACTGTTTTATAGAAAAAATCATCATTTTGTTAAAAGTATAATTTGTAAATTATAAAAAAAAAAAAGAAAAAAAAAAAAGAGGGGGGAGGTAAAGCACGTGGGTTTTCTTTTATTAAACTAATAAAGTAGGAATCGAGTATAAAAATATAAATTATTGAATATAAAAAAATGCAAGAGAGAGAACGTCGAAGGTCCTAGTAACACATTCTATACTTCGATATTAGGTTTGAGGTAGATTAGGAGATTGTTGTTGAACTGCTCAAAAGGTCAAAAGGTGTTATAACTGTAAAGTGATTTGTCTCCGAGAAGAGATTATGTCGTCTAGTAGGTTACACAACAGTCTCGATTGCGAGAAAATATCAATCCAAGATTTTCTCGACCCAGAGAAAATATGACAAACCTCTCCAATATCAACTCAACCACATGCCATAATATGGTTTATCCGCTTTCCAAATATGTTTTTTTTTTCAATATAATTATTTCTCAAATTAAGTGTCGAAGATAAATATAAATAGGCTGCTAATGTGGCTACTAAATCATTTTGATTACATTAAATATATATTCTTCTTCGTTTATCATAATTCATAACTAGTTTGTGGCAATATTAACAATGTTTATTTGGACCACAATCCTGTCCAACATGATCACATTGAGCATATTAATAGATATTTTGTTTGTAAAAATGTTATATTAAATACTTTTCTATTTCTATAAGTTACAAATTAAGACCAATTAATTCTTAGCTAATTAAAAGTAGCTTATTTCCCATGTTCATCATTCTTTTTGTAATAAGTTTTGGGTTTAATTTACGATAATTATTTCAACTTAAATATATTATTTTCAATCAACACAATTACTTTAGCACATAAAATTTCCATAATTTTATCAATTTGACAAAATCAATGTTTTATGTGTGGATATTTTATTAAAAGAAAAACACAACCACTTTTGAAAAAGTCTCAAAATATTTAACCTTTAATATGGAATTCGAGCATCAAGGTATTAACTTGGACCAAAATTATTAAGTTATTAAATACGATTTTTTTAGAACAACTTTCACATATAACAAACATAAAAATCATATTTATATGTTATAACTATAGTTTGCATAATTGCGCTCCACAACAAATTTTATGTTTGCTATGGAACTTTTGATTTGTATAATTCGCTAGATACATCCAAATTTATACAAATTGTTCAGTTTTGTATAAATTCATTTATACATTGTAATTTGTATAATAAGATCTCTATTTGTATAATTATAAGTGTATAAGACGAAAATATATGTATTTGTATTTGTATATATACTTTTGTCTCGCTTTATACAAACACAAACACATTTTATACATTTGTATACCGAATGGGTAATTGTATACCAAAAATGGTTAATTGTATACCGAACCAGATGACAAAAAAAATGAAATGTTTGCTGCGAATTACAAATAAAATAAACTATGACTATAACATTTAATTTGAATTAATAGTTTGTTATTTTGTACAATTTTTCCTTTTTTTTACGAACAAAAAAGGCAATCTGGTACTAAAAAAAAAGGAATTCATCAAAATATTTACTTGAAAGGGTGTACTTGCAACATTTACAAATTTGAAGGTGCTAACTCTATAATTTAGAAACTGCGTGGGCTTTATCATCAAAATGTTAAACATTATCATATTTTAGGTCATTACCAAAACTACCCTTCTTCCCGTCATATATGCAGAATATAAATTCTGTATTGCAATCAGAAAAAACCCTAGCTCTGTTCTCAGTGCTTCCGGCGACTATTTCCGTCGAAGGTCAAAACCCTAGATAAATCAAACTGGAAATCTAAATTCTCTGTAATTTGTTATCTCACTAATCTTTTGCCCTTTGTTTTTGCACTTCTGCAGGTGCTTGGTGAAAATTCTAGGAGTAACAAAGTTCTATTGGAGCTGATTAGGTTAGTGTGCGATTTATATGCTGTTCAGTAATATATGCTTCGTTTTCTAGATTAAAATAGGCATTTAGTAATAGATAGTACATATACGTGTGTGCAGGTGTATCCATTGTTTTAAAACCTAGTATTATATGTATAGAAAATAATTTTACAATAATTTTATACTGAGTTGAATTTGTTGTTGCGGAAGGGTGATCAATGCAGTTATATTTTGAATCCGGTGACTTCAGCTAAAATTGCATTTACTATTTTGATAAAGTGATCCCACTTATCTTCCGCATTTCAGAAAGTTAAGCTAGGGAGTACTTGATGAAGAGATATGCTACTTTGGTGTACTATTAAGCTATTTTACTTAAAGGGTAGTTGGATATGTATTTTTGGTGTTTTGATCGAGAATGAAATGACTTTGCTTATTTTTGTTAAGCTATGGATTGTTTTGATTAATACAGATTTATTTTCCCTTTTTAATCTATTTGACACAAAAGGGTAGTTGGATCTCCCTTTTGGTGATTTTATCAGTTGATTATGTTTGCTTAAACAGCATTGCGGCAAGAAATTAAGTTAGACATGAACTTGGTTTTTGGCATGGCATCTTGATTTTGTATTAGTATAGAATTTAATGAGAATATAAACTATAGTGTGCCCTTTTGGTTTAGATTATTTTGAGAGTATGAACTATTTTCTTAACTGGCTTCTAAGTGTAGGAAGTGTCAAAAGTCAAAACCAACTTGTGAAGTGGATTAGTTTATGTTCCTCTCTCCATTTCCTTTTATCTATTTTTTGGCTGGTTTGAAAAAAAGAGCATCTCACAGACATTATTCACATAACAGTACCTGTTACTGTGTAACCACCTAACAGGTTCTATTGGTTTAGACGCATACATTTTCTACTCTATGGGATCGTTTGGTAGAGTGTATAAGAATAGTGTTGAATAAGATGTTTTAGTAATGCTGATATTAGTTATACTAACATTAGTTATGCTTAGATTATTTTTATGCTCGATTTGGTTTGGTGAATTAAAAATAGCATGCATTGCATAATTTCTAAAATTAATTATTTGTTCACAAATATACCTTCCACAAATATGGTGGTAAGGATGTGGAAAAGGTTTTGAAGGGCAATTGTGTCTTAAACCATGCTAATGCATGCATTATAAACCCTTGCATTGCTAATACCATTAATTAGTTATACATAGCATAATACCAAATAGAGTGTATAACTAAGGCTTGCATTAGTTTAACATAGGCTAAAAAAGTTTACCAAACAAGGTATTAATAATACACCAAGCTAATGCATGCATTTTTGTTTCTAATGCATCCTTATCAAACGATTCTGATATGCTCTGCAAATTCAGTATGGTCATCGATGCACGAATGTTAATTGTAGTTTGTAGGACCAGAACCAGACACGTGACATTTATGCCTACCATAGTTGAATAATAGCTGCTTATAATCACTAGTCTGGTTCTTATGTGCCTTGGTTATATGTAGGGATGGCTCCAAAGCAGCCAAATACAGGCCTTTCTGTGGGTCTTAACAAAGGACATGTTGTTACTAAGAAAGAGTTGGCTCCCCGCCCTTCTGATAGGAAAGGGGTAAGTTGTTTTCTGGTTTCCATGCTTTTGATCTCTTTGTTTCTTAATGTTTCAGATGTTACCCATTCTGGATATCTAACCAATATCTAAACTCATCCACACACCAAAAGTTATTCTCAAAATCTAATAGGTTTGCTTCTCTTTGTCTCTTGTTCAGAAAACCAGTAAGAGAATACATTTTGTTAGAAGCCTTATCAGGGAAGTAGCTGGTTTTGCACCTTATGAGAAGAGAATTACTGAGCTTCTTAAAGTTGGAAAGGACAAACGTGCTCTTAAGGTAGCCAAGAGGAAGCTGGGTACTCACAAGAGAGCAAAGAAGAAGCGTGAAGAGATGTCCAGTGTTCTCCGTAAAATGAGGTAATTGATAGCATGTCAACTTGAATATTATACACTTTTATGACTATTGTGTTTGACTAGGTGCTTATCTTTGTCTTTTTGTGATCCAGGGCTACTGGAGGTGGTGAGAAGAAGAAATGAGTTGCATGCTAAACACCTCTCTTTGAAATTTTAGGGTTTAGAAACTGCTTTGCCTAGATCTACTTCTCATCATTTTTATTGTTGAAACACAACTCTTCTTTTTGTGATCTTTTGTTTCAGAACGAGAATGGGTCAAACTGTACCAAGTCTTGTATCTGGAATACCATATAGATTCCAGATATATTTTGAAATATAGGTACTGGTCGAGCAAGAGATCCAGCTACATGCTAATTTACTTAAATATAATGTATTTAGAACAAATTATATCTAATTTTGGCCTTATATATTTGTGATACATGTATCAGACGGGATCAATATAAAACACGTAATTAGGTTTTAAATAATGAGATTTGTTTTGTTTGCCCATTAATTAAACCCCAAACCTAGGCTTCACTCAAGGATTTGAGGTGATGTAAAATGCCAAGATGGAAATAAAGAGCCAGGTGTTGAAATACCCAATTAAACTGGGTCAATATGGGTCGAAAATTACTAGGTACAATTTGGACGTACCATTCCTTAGTGCTTTGTTCGTCCCAACACAACTGTTATTTTTAAATATTGTTAAGATAAGAAAAACAAATTTATTTACCATATTTCAATTTCTTAAAATTAAAACAATTGCTGTCCCACAAATTAAGGGATCAATATTAGTCCTATTTGTGTGTATTTATGTCCAGCCTCTGGTCGTAATATTTCTTTTGACTAACCACGAGATTAGAATAGATTCAATGCTTTAATGGTCGCGCGAGAATTTAATATCACTAAATTTATAAAATAATACTTAAAATCTATCCGCCATTAAAACTAAAACACTATATTATTTTTCATACAAGACTACGTAGTAACGAACATTAATAATGTAAAGGAAAATGAAAATTATAACATCTTATCATTTATCCTTAATAACATAAGCATAAATTTATGACTGTAAAAAAAATACCAGGATCTGTAACATAAGCAATGGTGTAAGTGAGCAACTCAATAGGAGCAAAGTACACAAATGTTTAATTGTGCAAAAAAAAAAGAATAAGAAGTTCAGAATTTTTGTTGTTTTAAAATGAAAAAAAATTCCTTTATTTATAGACAACAAAAGATACTGTGAACAAATGTTTGTTGTGCCTTATTGGAAAAGTTGCAACCCTTCGAAAAGGTCATAACATTTCATAAAAGTCGCAATTTTTCATTGAAGTCGCAACTTTTCATAAAACTCATAATTTTTCATAAAAGTCACAACTTTTCATGAAAGGGAAGACTAGTTTTGAAAATAAATAAATTAAAAGGGAATCCTGGTTGTGGTGCCACGTAGGCGGGCCTAGAGTTCTCTTTTATATATATATATATATACTTATGATATATGATTAATTTATATAAAAAAAATATGATTCAATTGTTAATGTATTAATATTACGTGTATAGTTGCATATTAGTTATAAGTGAACAAGGCAAATTAATATAAGAAAGCTTAAAAGAGAGCTCAATTCTTAGTAGTCACAACACTCACGAAATTACATTGAAAAAATTTTCTGAAACAAACAGTGAGTGTTCATACACATACACGAGTCAACTAAAGACATTTAACAAATGACATCTTGAAATCAAATCGTTGTTTGCAACATTTTGTTTATTCGAATAGCGAATGTAGAAGATGAAAGTTGTAAAAAAACCAATAACTTTTAACTTTAACAATCTAGTCGATCAATGTAACAATTTCAATGCCTCTTTTCGCGGGGGCTAGGATTATATAAAGGTGAGGTGAGAGGTACAGAGACAATGGCGGGGATATTCTGACTTCTGTATGATAAAATACAGATACAGTCATAGCTCAACTCTATCACAAGTTAACCCGCTATCTTTATTCTCATTCACGACCTCTGTAGTATTTATTTGAGCTCTTCAGCAATGTTACTGCTAATGAACCTGTAGTGACTAGTCCTCTTTTCTCATTCGACCTGGCATGGATTAGAGCATTGGTCGAAATGCAGGTAGTTTTCTGGCTGGCCTCAATAAGCCCTCTTGAGTAATTGACACTACGAGCTGGAGATCAACAAGCATTAAAAATAGGCACATTAACAAAGCAAGAAAATAAAACGAACAAAACACACTTTGGCAGCTCACAGAATACACTTCTCAGAACTAGTACTTTACCTCTCCCTTCTTATTAAACATTTGCCCCCACACAAAGCCACGTGCATTATAAGCAGTCGGACTGTTGATCTATAAAATGATAAACAGTTAGAGCGAAGGCTGCAAGTAATGGAAACCACTAGTAAAGGGATGGTGGTTCTTAAAAACATCACGAGTACTTTTTAACTTTTCTTTCTTACCACAAACAGTATCCAATCATCAGCTTTCACAAGTCTGTGGAACCACATCCTGGGAAAAGGGACGGAAGTAAAAATGTAAGTACATTTGCATGCCAAGTGCCTTCCTTTAACTAGCGATAAAAGAGATAAAAGACACTCATGATTCAGGTAAGATATTCCTTGAACACTATTTTGAGCTTTAAATTCCATGTGTAACGTTATGGGAGAATCTCATCAAAGACCTATCAGAATCTGGAAAGTTCGGATTTCCAGATTTTCATGTCAATAACACAAAAATCACTAATTTGGAGACATTAATTTCCCATCCTATAAGAGACAATTGTTGCAAGAAGTTGTGATTAGCAAAAAGAGGTCCAACCGAGACCATCTGGGACAGGTTTCAATGCCCTCCAGCAACTCCTTCACCAGTAGTGGAAGTAAAACCTAGGTTTTGACGTCAATTACCAACATCACTCCACCATATCCCTTCACTGCCGCCTTATATTGTTCTTTTACCTTTCTATTTATTTTCCCAACCAAAGGAAGGGATCAGACCCACATGGGTGTGTTATGAGCAGCCTTAAGTCAGGTAAGGAAGGCTCTGTAGAAGTTTGTAAGGACTACATATTGCAGGTTTCCCAACCCTGTATAATGCCACTTAACCATCAGAGGCCCAGTGGCAATTTCTTAAAGAGACCATAGTTCATGGCTGAAGAATCAATAGTTGAAGGCATGCATAGGCAAATATGTGATGTTGTGTTGTTAGAAGTAAATATTCATGAGTTTGAAAGGCAATACAAGCAACAATTTGATGATAAGTTGCTCAGGCAAACATCGACATATTCAAGATAAATATAAAGCTGGCACATTAAAGAAAAAAAACAAAATGGTCTACAAGTTGTTGGAACTCACGAATGATCCAGACTAACAGAACTTGTCTCGAAACCCATCTTTCGGTGAGGATTCAGACTGACTGTAAGAAAGATTAGATCTGATGTATATGCTGCAACACATCTGCAACCAGCATAAATCTTGCATGAAAAGATGCAGACTGAAATATGGACTCAATTCTGCAATAAATGTAAAAGCTTCTGTATGCTAAAATAATATGTTCCTGATTTTAATTTCTTTTATGTTCCCTTTTGATGGTAAGTATGAACCTACAAGGAAGAAATGTGATTTTGAAGAAAAAAATATACGACTTTTTAAGCACTAATATTAGCTATACACGGTCCCAAGTGGGAGTATACCCAAAGAAGTGCAGATAACAAAGTTGTGTTCACTTGTGTACCCCAAGTCCTCAAGTATCCTTTAGAACTCTTTCTCTATCAATAACAAATCTACTCATGAGAGTCTCTCGCTGAGATAAGACAAGGCTACCAAACAGACTGCTTTGCTCCTTTTAAGTATGAGCTCAGCTAATTAGATGAAAGGACTGATAGCTTACCTATGTAAAGCCTGGTCATCTGAAAGTTTTCCTTTTGCTCTGAACCAATATCTCAAACTGTGTAGGAAAGAGATGATGCAAACCTTGGACTGTCAATTTAGTTAATTACAGTTGCTACCTCAGAAGGGAAATTAATAGCTGAAAGCACGACCAACCTTGGAGGAGACTTGGTGTAATTAGTGGCATTGTTAGGTTCACAAAACCTTATTTCTATTGGCCAGGGAACAAAATTTGCAGTAGAAACCTTATTTCGGTATGTCCTGTCAAAATTCACTGTTAGCATCACCTAACCAAGGATCCCAAAAATAAGTAACCACAAACAGAATAAAAAAGCTTTATGCAGCTTCAATTTTCAGGTCTCGGGGCAAGGTAGGAAAATATGCAATCAATTAATCTTGATAACGTTATCCCTCACATTAATTAAATTCAGAGTTGTCAAAAATCATTTGAGGTTTAAATTAGTGTGCTAAGATCAAGAATGACCTTTATTTCTCAATTAAACCTTGCTAAAGGAAACGATAATTATGTGCCGTGTCAAGGCCTAATTTAAATTTTGTTAATTCACTACGTCACGATGCCTTTCATAAGATGGCAGCTAATGAAATGTTTTGAATTCAAACAAAAAGAGGTCAACTTCCAACTTCTTGTGTTTTCCTTTTGACAGAAGAATCAAAAAGAAAAATCCCATATCCCCTTAAACCCAAATCCAAATGCTCCCGGAAAACATAATGATAAACCTAAAATAAAAACAAAACAAAGCATTCCTTTGTTCACATGTCAGACGGTTGCATTACAGGCTTTAAAAGCTAAATAAGTCCCAGCTCAGTAGTTGGACCTGGAACCAGATTGCCACCACAAAAGGATGCTCATATTAACAAGAGACTTCCACCATCCTTACTCCTATTGCTAAATTGTGTACGCAGGGTTAGCATTTTCCAACCTTCTCTCACTTACATTCTCTTATGATTGTTCCTTTCCTTATTTTTTGGGATAACAAAGAGTTTTTGCCAATGTAGTCTAAGATTCATGTAGCCAAACCCAACTTGCTTGGGATAGAGACGTAGTTCTTATAGTATAATTATAAGAATATTTTTTTTTGCTTTTTCACTGGCTTGTTTATCCCTTGTAGTGACTTGTTTGGTTAAAATTGTTTCCTAGGTGCTACAGTTGGAATTCCTAGTGTAAGTAGCTTGAGAGAAAATTAGATCCGAAAGGATTGATAAGTGTAACTAGGAGGTATTTCATAACATCAACAAAAAAGTCTAACTAGGAAGTATTTGTCACAAGAAGAACCATTTTGCTATATTAAGGATCTTACTAATCCCTATAGCTTTTGTGTCTACTTGGTTTCATTGTCACCAAGTTGTCATCAGTCATCATCATC